AGACTAGATATTGCTCATGTTGTTGGTGTAGTTAGTTGTTTTCTCTCTAATTCGGGTAAAAAGCATTGGCAAACTGTGAAGTGAATACTTAGGTATCTTATAGGTACTTCTAGAATTTTTTTGTGTTTTGAAAGTGGTGGGCCTATTTTGAATGGTTACACAAATGCAAACATGACTAGTAATGTGAATAACAAGAAGTCTACTTCTAGTTATATGATGACTTTTGTAAAGGGAGTAGTGTCATGGAAATCTAAATTGCAAAAATTTGTTGCTTTATCTTCTATAGAAGTAGAATATATTGATATAACAAAAGCTGTCAAGGAGCATTTGTGGATGTAGAAATTCCTACAAGAGTTGGGACTTTCACAAGGAAAATATGTTTTGTACTATGATAGTCACAGTGCAATCTATCTCAACAAGAACTTGAATTTTCATTCAAGGTTGAAGCATATTGAGATTCGATATCATTGGATACATGATGTATTGGAGATAAAGTAATTATAATTGGAGAAAATCCACACTAAAGAGAATGGCTCAGATATTTGAATTGTGTAATACATGGAACATTATCTTCATATATAATTGTCGATTATTTTTCCTAAACATAAACCACAAGTTTCTTATACATGTTGAATCAGAGATCTTAGCTAGATATATTCACAAGTTACATCTTGTAATGCTAAAACTTTTACATGATCAAATGAAGTGACTACTATGGTTTCTGTTATAGATCATCATAAAATGGTTATACCACCACTTATAAATAAATATCTTGGATACATTTGGATAGAATAACCTCATATCCATTATACCTCTAAGATAACGAGGGATTTGTTTAATTCTTCCAATGTCTTCATTAGGAATGGCAATAGGGCCCCATAGGGCGGGTAGTAGGATATACATACCCTCCCCGTTAGATAAAAATCAGTCTTGTACCCGTCCTATATCTACGCGAGTATCCATTTAATAGGTATCTGTAAATTTTATAAATATTTTCGATATCCATGGATATCTATAGATATTTGTGAATTATTTTAAAAATAAAAATTATTATAAATAAATTTAAGTTTATGTTTGATGTTAAGTATATTGAAATATTAAAGATAAATAATTGATATTATTTTTTAATTTATAATTAATGATAATTTTTTAAAATAGTAAAAATATAAAAAAAAATGTAAGATAAAAATATGAATATTTAAGTAATATTATTTAGCGGGTACCTGTGGATATTAATATTACCATACCCATCTCCCGATTTTTAAATGGGTAAAAAAATATTCGTATCCATTATCTGCAAGTATCCATTTAAGCTACCCATTTATTATTTGTGACAGATTTTTATCTACAAATACCCATAGTACGGTTATTTTTGTCATCCATAGTCTTCGTATAGTGAAAAACTATATCTTACTAACAAATTAACGACAAATGTTAATATTAGATCTATATAATTAGTAAGATACATTAGTGCTCCTATAACACTAGGATATGGTACTTTAAGAACAAGTATTTCTTCATTTTTTATGTCTAAATGGATTTTTGTTAACATCTAAAGATCTTACAACTATTTGAGTCCACAATGAATATGATTTGTCCAAATAAAATATTTTAAGCACGTTAAAGTGTAAAAGAATTTCATTTTTAAAATATTCAATTTATAATCTCAAGCAAAACTTTATCCTTCTCAAATCTTTTATTTCAAATTCTTTCTTTGAATAATCTACGATGACTTTTTAAAATTCTTTAGAAATTTTAATAATGGTTATATTATCTACACAAACAATAACTATAACAAATCCATTTTAATAAAAATACACAAACAAATTAAATCTTTTTTATATCATTCTTTTAGTAAATACTTAGACGATTATGCCACGACGTTTGATTACTTTTCTCTATTGATTATAGCATTTTAAAGGGACCAAGCCTACCATGTAAGCACCTTACAGGACCAAAGTGTTACTTTACTGGATTGATTATAGCATTTTGGATCTTCAAGTTCAAACCATGAATTTATGAATGTCCCAAGATTATTTAGGGTTTGTACTAATTACTAAAGCATCAATAGAGGTAGCAGAATAATATGGTATGGTAACCTTTCAATAATATATGCTTTACGTATTAGGTCTCAGTTTACAAATAGAAAGACGAGAAAAACAGAACAGAACAGAGTTGATAGTTATAATAGGAAAATAACATAAATTGGACAACGAACTAGTTCATTTTGCAATGATTGTAATCATAGTTTATCATAGGACGATGATTCATGAACCAGTACATTATATATCTCTGACTATATCAATTTGATACTAACTCTTGGCTCTTGCAGAATCTTCTCCCCCGTGATATCCTCCAACACATTGTTCTCTTTTTGCTTTTTCCATCTTACGTTCAAACTTGATGCATCTTCGTTAATATCTGAGAAGGAAGCAGCAATAGTGGAAACTTGGATTTTGATCTTGGGACGCATAAACAAAGAGAGAAGAAGTACAAGAGAAGCCATGGCATGGAAAATGAAACCCAAGTTTCAATTTAACTTAATCTAACAACTAACCACTGTGCAAGAAAACATTTAGTTTATATAAGAAGATAGATTGTGGATGATTATTGAGTAGGAATTGATGCAAAGTCTCATTTTTTTATTACTACAGAATACGTTTGGAACTTCAGCTTCCGAAGTTGGTTGGGGGTAGTTGATTTATGGTTACTTTTTCAACATCTGTTTTTTTGGGCTAATTATGGTTGTCACGGGCTCAACCTATTAAAAAGATGACAACCTTTTCAACCATTCTTATATTTTAAAAGAAAAACTATTTATCTAAAAATATTGAAGAAAAAGAATATTAATGAGGTCGATTGACATCTTGCAAGGAGTCGTGTAAATTAATAACATCTCTTTTAAAGAAAATGCATATTGTTACATGATAATTCCCTAGTGTCTTAAAAATAAAGTAAGTAAATTAGTATTAAGGAAATGCATTATAACAATACATTTTTTTTATATAAATTTATGAGTGATAAAATATTATTTATTATTAGCAATATATATGATATTGTGTTAATTAATAATAATGTATTTATTAGTATTAATAGATATGTATCCTTTTACGTAATATATTATTTTTGTTAAAATATTTTTTTTTGTAATTCACATTTATTATTATGAGTTACATGATATATATTATTGAGTTAACATTTTGTTTTCTTATGAATTGAAGGGCAACTACCAAAACAAAACTACCAATGAACGGGTTTCAATCTACTCGCTCTCATGCTTCCAATACATCAGATAAACGCACCAATAATAATTCACACACAGGTGCATTAAGGTTAGCATGTACTTTTTTTTGCACTTGAAAAATATGAGAAGCTTGGACTTGCCAACCTTGAGCATCAATAGTCTAATGTTATTAACCAAACTCATTCCTCTAACACTGTCATCACTTCAAGATCCCATAATATTACTAATCAATAGGCTTTTACGTTCACTAGTTCCATTCTGTTCACGATTCTTGCTTCGATTTAGGTGTCTATTTGATTGATCCTATATGAAGAAAAAGTCACTTATGATTAGAATGGGTGGACTGAAAACTTGTTGGCACATTCATTTACTTTTCATTAAGATCTCCATGTAAGAATGATTGTTTGCATCAAGTTAATGTAGGAACCAACCATTGGTTACAGCTAAAGCAAGCACTAAATGCATGATTGTTTGTTTATAATAGGAGAAAAAAGTCTCAGAATAGTCGAAAACTTCTTATTGGGAAACAATTCATTTGCTTCAATTCATGCAAATGAATTGCAAATTAGTAACCATCCATGTCTTATTTTATTTTAATGCAGAGATTTCTTGATCCACCATAACAACCATTTTTTGCTTGTTTGGAAAGGGGAAGAACAAAATTCTTGTGACTGTGTTAATCTATGGAAAAAAGAGAAAATGAGAGAAGGGGCAGCAGTACATGAGGACGGATCAACATAATGATTATCCCATAAATTAACAAGTGGGTGACAGATTTTGCTAGATGTGCATTGGCTTGTTATAACAACCATTAGTTGAGGAATAGAATTAACTGTGGGGAAAAGGGGCAAATTGAGTAGAGAATGGAGCTAGATGCAAGTGATCAAGAGTGAGATTAAAAGAAAAAACCTAAGACGGTAAAGAAATTGGAAATATGTCACTAGTGGGGAGAGAATGGATGGAAGTATGAAAGAAAAAATGTCTTCTTAGAAGACAATATGTCTAAAGAGAAACACGTATCTAGTACTAAAGTTAAATAGAAAAAATATTAAACACCCTCTCTATGGCCAATGCAATGCATTTTCTAGCCCTTGAATCGAATTTTTTGTTTTGTTGACACCAAGAGTCAAAGCATAGCACAAAGAGCCAAAAACTTGAAGGGATGAAAGATTAGGATCATTACATAGAATAGAGAAAGGAGAACATGGCCTAACTTTGTGAACGCCTGAAAGGAAACAAACTCAAGATACGGACATGTAAAATGCCATTTGATAAAACATGTGAAAGGAGGTTGGATTGAAACATAGGAGACCAATCTAAGTTGAGAATATATTGGGTTTGCATTCAACTATCCCATTTTATTGGGCTCCATCAATGAAATGGAAAACTCATAGTTTGATCTTAAGGATTTTATTTTTAGGCCAAATTGTGTCGATTTAGGAAACAAAATGGACTATGTGGTTTCTAGTCTCATTTTTTTTCACAAAAACTACATAAGTAAAGTGAGATTTAAAATTAATTATTTCGAGTCTGTAACAGGATGAAAACCAGTAATAAATTCAAACGACACACTCACCCCAAAGCACACCTCTGAACTCTGTTCAATTCAAAACCATACACACAAAAAATGCGCCCAGCAATATCTGGTTGTATCCACAGACATGATGCTGATAATGTCGATGCAGCAATTATTAAAATAAAAAAAAAAAAAAAAAAAAAAAAAAAAAAAAAAAACATAAGAAACGCTGAAACCCCATCAACAACCATAATCCAAAAATGACTTTGCAATATGGTTATAACATAAATTTGACACACTAGTTTGAATGTAACTAATGTAGGTTATTTAACTCATCATAGTTTCTTGGTGTAACATGAAGACACTAAATTATTTAAAGCCACTATTTGTAGATTGCATAAGCAGAGTATTACTGCAGGTCTGCAGCGGTGTACTGTGAGAACCCGTAGCTCGCACAGTCACGCTGAATCTTTTCACATTTTAGAAAGGAGGCCAGTTCATCTGACGTCCCCCAATGAGGTGCACATGAATGTGGTAAACTGATTGGCCTGCCAAAAACCAATCCTCACCTCAATAAAAATAGAGAACAAACACACGCAAGAACCTATAAATTGATTAAAATATGATTAATCGATGTTCCTGAAATGACATGAAGAAGAAAACTTACCCCCATCTGGCCCATCATTGATTACAATCCTGAAGCCATCATCAAGACCTTCTTGCTTTGCAACCAGCTTTGCAGTGTACAGAAGGCGACCGAGAATCTCACAGTGCCTCTCCTCAGCCTGGAAACAATACCATAATAAATCAGTATAAACACAGACATAACCCAGACAAAAATGTAAAACAGTTGTAGATGGGTGACCCAGGGCAAAGAAAGGTTCAACATTCAGTCTGATTTGACAACTTAAATAATAAAAAGTTAAATTAAAGAAAATGCTCAAGAGTAATTGTAACTGATGACTACCATCGCCAAACATGTGCACATACAGTTTGTTTTCCTTTTGTTCTCTTCAGGAAAATGTAAATTAGATGCCACACAGTTAAAATATATTAAGATAGCATTTGAGCATGAGGACAGAGTAGAATAGAAAGGAATGATTCTGTTCTATTCTATTTGGTTCTGCCTGTTTCAGAAAAACTAAAATATTTCACTTTTTAACTCGTTGTGTTCTGTTTTTAAAATGTGTCATGCGTTAAATTGTGTCCCATTCTAACACATACTAAATGCTGCTTCAAGGTGTCTATTAACCCACCAACAAACAAATATATCAACCAGGGAGGAAATGGTAACACTGCAAAAATTATAAAATGGTTTGAATAGATACATGAACAAATGATGAATCTTTATCTTAGTTAGACCAGCAGACAAGATCTGTTTAAGTGATTAATGGTCAAGGACCAACCTTAGTAAAAACTTAATGACTTCATCATAGAGATTCTGACTTAGCTCAATTTGTTAACAAGACTAATATTAACTTTCTTTCATAATCATCAAATAACAGGTGATTTACCAGAAGGGATAGGCAATGCAATTAAATAGGTTCTTGTGCCACTGCTTCGAAAAAAAAGTGACAGTAGTACAATAATAATATAGAACAGCTAATATAAAATTATACAAGAAAAATATTTGACCTCAAATACCTACCACGGACAAAGCAAAGTGTTACTAATATATAATATGTAAGTCTCTGATGGTATTTTCTGGATAAAATAAATCTTGATAACAATATGTTGGGATAGCAATGACAAAGAAGCAATCATAAGACCAGCTAAAGAGGGCCAAGACCAAGCATCTGGGCAGCTGACTGTTGTGCAATGCAAGTTAAAGAACATCAAACTAAGCTCACCATAAAATGAAAAGATATATAGGCAACAAAAACCATGCCTATGTATCAATGTAGAATATATATGAGCCAAAACTTATAAATACAGGCCAACCAACCATATTTTAAGATGAATTTCTATGGATAAAAAACATACGTAATACATGAGCCTTATCACATCTTAGTGTGGATCCAAAATCATGCAGCCTAGCTGTATTATCTGGCACGTGATGGTAAACTTTTAGGGATTCAGTTAAGTAATGTTACCCTGGTCATTGAGTCCTCAACTAACAACTTCAAGCAGTATCACTTACTAGATGAGTATACAAGCTTCACAATCTTTTTTCACCAGAAAAATTAAACATTTCTCCCATCAGTATGCTAATACTGAAGGAAATCTATTAGTAATTTGAATTTTCCAATATAATACGATATTTTTATATGAATTAAAAAATGATTTATATAATAAATATTGTATTGGGCATACCGGGCACATGTATATAGATGATTTTCAAATGAACATCTGAGACAACATAATATGCCTACTGACGCAGAAAAACTATTAACAAATACCTTGGCTAGACCAGTCAACCCATCCCTAACTTTAGGGATGATTAGAATATGGGTAGGTGCTTGTGGAGCTATATCCCTAAAGGCAAGAACCTGTCAATCAGAAAATAAACGATGAAAGGATAATCAATTGCCATAATTCACCTTTAAATCAAATAAAATAACTTGACCAGAATAGCAGCTAATGTTTCAACTAGCAACAGTGTTCGCAAAGACTTGCTTATTAGAAATTTATTAACATTTTATCATAAGATGCAATTATGAGAATCTGACCATGTGTAAGAAATTAATGGTAACATTTTTCAACTCTGAACTTGTGTAAGAATGTGCAATCCAGCAAGAAACTAGTTTATCAATTCAAATAACACATCACAATGCTCAGTTTCTTTTAACATGGAACACCCATTGAACCATTTACATGTAAACGTTATCAACAAGTATAGACTCTGCACAGTAAGAAATATTAACAAGACATCGAACAAGAAGGAAGAGCCAGGAACTTAATTGAAACTGGAAAAACAAAAGAGAACTATTGGACTACTTTTGCTTTGGATAGAAAAATTCTCTATGTTATCTCCTCTTGTAGGTGTGGCATTCGAAGCATTGTTTTATTACTTTTATATAAGAAACTCTATATTTGTAACTAGTCACATCCTCAAACATTGTGAAAAAAGGCACAAAACTAAAATAAAAGTTGGAGTACTCCATCAAGCATCAGACAGCACCTTATCATCCTCATAAACCACAGTAGAAGGAATTTCCTTATTGATGATCTGGTCAAATCTGTTCACCATAGAATACAAGAGAAAGATGTGAATACTAGGAACTAAAATAAATAAATACATAATAAAAAAAATGGTGCCATGTCCTGCTCCTGTTTCAAGCATTAAAACGGAAAAACCTCAACTTATTCAAAAAAAAAAAAAAGGAATAAAGATGCAGGAAAGCCACCATATCTTCACAAAATACACTAAATACTGATAATATGCACACGAGGAAAACCACCATATCTGAACAAAATACACTAAATCCTATCATGTGCACACAAAGACACAGGAAAACAACCATATCTGCAAAAAACACACTAAATATCATATGCACACACAGTAATTATTAGGAGAAACCAAGTCTTGTGAATCCTAGATCCATTATAAAGATGATCCACCATGTTTATACATGCATCAAATCCAATAATGTTGGGCGTGAAAGTGTGTGTTAGAAAAAATTCAACGCAAACTATAGATATAATGATATATATAAGTAGGTTGTCTCATACTTATATACTCTTTTTTTCTAATGGCTTAATTACTCCTAGAATATGGGTTTGAACCTAATACATCCCTATAAAACCGATGAGGTAAAGCTAACAAAGAGTAAATAAATAGGAGTCAACCTTCACCTCTCCGGTTTTATACGGATGAGTTAGAATGAGATCCACATTCTAAGAATAATTAAGCCATTATAAAAGCCCCAGTAGGTCGGCCTATTGTACAACAAAAAATTAAACCATTATAAAAGAGCTAACTTTCATATTCAAACGGGCACATATAATCACCAGAAGATGATACCCACAAACAACTATATTTTGTGGCCATATGATTTTGCATTTTCATTCTGCTGAAAGCAAGCTAATAAAATTTTATTACCCTTTTAGCCTAACCACATAAAAACGTATGCTTTTCAGGGTTTTGCACAATGACCGAGGAAATCAGAACATGTAACAGAGCAACCACAAAGGATTTTTGGAAGACATGCAAATACTAAGCAGAGAGAGTAAAAAACTCACATGGTGGGATCGTCAGAGGGAGTGGCCGCAAGAGCAGCTTCTATCTCTGAGGCCATGGAATGGAATTGAATGTAAAAAATGGTGAAAGCAATACAATTCAAGTACAGCAATGCTTGCAGCCTGCGTTTATGTTATATATTGGTCTTAAAGGTGTGTTAGGAACTTAGGAATTAGGATTGCCGTTTTAGATGCTTCAAACGGACTTTCCCATTTCCCATGAAAAAAAAAACGTACAATTAAGTACACTGGACTCTGTTAAGTAAACGTCCGTTCACGTTTGATGAAACATTTTTTCATTAGCAATGATACACCTAAAACAATTGTACAATAATTCATCACTTTTGTATGGATGTCTGTTCATCATTAATAATATTCGATGGAAAGTTACACAAAATTAATATTATACAATTTTTATTATAGTTAGCATTACTCTTTTGACAAACACACACTCTTTAGAAATACTCTATTTTTAACATTTTATTTAGACTTAAAATGTGTTTTAATTTCTCAAATTTTAATTACTTTTATCTTTCGCTTCTATCATAATTTTTTTTCTCCAACTACTAGTTACTCAAATTTTAAGTTGAATAATTTTAGTTATTTAAATATTTCAGTTGTATAATTTTTAAGTTATATATTAGTAATTTTAATAATAATAAATATATATACATTTAATAATGAATAAAAATTATAATATATTTAACTTAAATCGGTCAAAAATTATATAATTATGATATTTAAGGGACTAAAATCGTATAATTGTAAATATTAAAAATTATTTAATTAAAATTCGGGAATAAAAATCACACAATTGTAATATTTGATGAATTAAAATTGCTCAATTAGAATCTTAATGATCAAAATTACATAATTATAATATTAGAGGGATGTAAATTGTAATTAAGGTTTTTTTTTTAAAGAAAAATAAATTATCATTTCTTCCTTTTGAATGAGAGAAGATATTCTTCATTTCTTTTTATTTCTATTACTATGGTGTGTGTTTCTTAATCTTAAAAAACACTAAAAATAAAATAAAACAATAATAAAGTGGGTAATGAACAGTTATTAAAAGATTTACGATCCAATAGAATTTTTAAAAAATAAAATAAGAAAGAAAATAATAAAATAAGTAATTATTAAAAAGCTGCCAACATGTTATTAATCATGTGAGAAAATATATTACTAATTTTCTAATTTTTCCTAAGCAATTAATGGGTATAATGGTCCAATCCAAAATGAAGATCAAGATCAATTATAAAGAAGTATCCACTATAAAAACTTAGGCAAAACATTATGATCTCTTTTTTAGCATACTAATTAATGTTTTGTTAATTTTGATGTAAAATGATTAATTAATTAATATTTGCTTATAATTAAAAAACTATACTCCTTTTTTGTAGTAACCCAATTTCGTCCCGGAAATATTAATTTTGTTCTTAAAAAATAGCAAAAAAAGTATATACAAAAAAGAATAAAAAAGACGAAAATATGGAAGCCAAGTGCAATACCTCAATTTTAATACTTTTGTGGAGGGTAATTTAGTAATTTTCATATGATTTTAGTAGCCCAGAACGGGTCGTTCCAAAACTGGAACGGGTCATTCCAACCTTCCAAAAAGCCTTAAAATTTCTAGTCCAGAACGGGCCGTTCCAATCTTCCAAAAGACTAATAAATTCTAGCCCAGAACGGGTTGTTCCCACAACTGGAACGGGCCGTTCCCAAACTGGAACGAGCCGTTCCCACCTTCAAAAAAGACCTATAATCTTTAACCCAAAACAGAGTGTTCCCAAACAACCAAAATACCTATAAATTCTATCTCAGAATGGGTCGTTCTGAAACTGGAACATGTCGTTCCAAATATGGCCGTTGTGAGTAAAATTGCAACCCCGAAACAGGCCGTTCCGGATTCAGAACGAGCCGTTCCAGTCCCTCCTGAAAGCGACCCTTGGCCTTTCAAAAGAGGACCCACACACACATCTCCACCTTAGACCAAAGGGAACCCAGACCAGCAAGTTACCGCTTCTGTAGCGAAGAATTGTGAGTATATTAAACTCCTTTTTATTTTTTATTTTTATATCAGTAATATCTGTCAGTAGTCCTTATTTAAATTCAAAATGTGATTAAATATCAAAATATAGTATTACAATATTTAATATAAATATATGAAATTATTGTATCAAAAATTTTATTGGAGGAATGATTAATTAGATGTGACATCTTTTTAATATTTAAATTTAAAGTACAAGTTGTGACAACTTATCTTTAAATTTTTTCTCCAAAAAAACAAAAATGTCCAACCAATAAATTTTTAACATCATAACATCTCTAGCGATAATTATAATTAAAATTTTATTGAATTGACTTTGGTGTACACCTTAGTCAATTTTATATTTTTAAGGTGAATGAGCTGAGACAGTTCAAGAATCCTATATTTAACAAAAATAAAATTTAATTTAAAAATATCAACACACAAATATTTTCTATCACAAAACTACGTGATTCTGATTCTTCATTACACATGAAGATACGTAGGAGCAAGAACTAAATCTTGTTGAGCCAAAAAATAAAAAATATATTATTTTTCTTTTTATATAATAATAATAATTTTAACCTTTTTTTATATATACAATAATAGTTTAGTTAAATAAAATATATTTGATCATTTTAGTGAGATAAATATTTTATAAATTATTAATAATTAGTTTAATTAATTAAAGGTAATCGTCTTAGGACGAACGTTGTGAGGTGCTAATACCTTCCTCACACATAATCGACTCCCGAATTCAAAAATTTGGTTTTCGTAGACTATTTTCTATTTTATGATTTTTCCAATGTTTTTCCGTAAAAAATAACATTGGTGGCGACTCCTCTTTTTTACATCTATTTTCGCCGTCCTGTCGCGATCTCGGTTATGACACTTTTAAAAATAATTAGTTGCACGATAAATTGTGTGATATCCTCCACCTTTTATTTATATATATATATATATATATAATATTTTCATAATTGAATTTTAACTAAAATATTAAATAATATATATTTCTAACACAGAAGATTTACATTTTAATTTGATTTTATAATATGAATACTTAAAAAATATCATTTAAAATAAAATATCAAGCCAAACTCTAAAGATTTAATAGAAAAATATAACTAGCTTCTCCAAAATGCCATACAAGTTCATAAAACAAATAATTCATAAACATAAATAAAGAAATCAACTTTAGTTTTGATGTCACATTCCTATCAAAACATGGTCTCAAAGGATAAGTAAAAGGCTTATGTCTTATTCTCAACACCAACTTTTGTATAATCATTTTCTGCAAATGGCATTCAGTCCAAATAAAACACATAAAAACAATAAATATAGTAAGTGAAATAAACACATATATACATATAAATTACAACAAATGTAACACTCCAAACACATTAAAATGAAAGAAATCTAGAGATTGTACATGTGTGAGATTGTATAGGTGTGAGATTGTATGATTGAAGATGCCTTAAAAATTAATTTATACAACTTGTACCAACAAGATGCACCTATTTTTCGGTAGTTATTACTTAAGAACTTCATAGTTAAAGCATACTTGAGTTTTTAAGTGATTTAGGAATAAACGATCTTCTGAAAAATGTGTTGTCTTAATTTGTGACGATAATTGTTGATTCTAATGACAACTAACATCTTGAAAATTGTTATACATGGAGGTGAAGGGTTTTGACCAACGAGAGATTTTGTTAAACGTCACCATGTTATTAGAGTAGATTTTCTTTCTTGGTATGATGTGGTTTAGGAACGAACCAAAAGGAAGTTAATGATCTTGTAACATTCCAAACACACTTGAATAAGAAGGATCTAAAGACTGTACGTGTGTGAGATTGTATGATTGGGATGACTTGAAAGAATTATATTGTATAACTAATATCAACATTATGCATCTAAAATGGTAGGTCGAGCTAGATGCTCCAACTCACCAGTTTGCCATGGCTCGACTCACCTAGCCCACCATCGTCCTTTTTTATTAAAAAAATAATGTACAAAATTAAAATTTAAAATCATTTTTTAAGATTTAAATGTTATTAAAAAAACATAATATATGTTTGTTAACATTATTTCATAATTTTTATTCCTCTTATACTAATAAAGAATTAATATTCAAATGAAATTTAGACCAAATTATTAATATATTTTTATACTTTAATTTAAGTAAACTTATCTATTTAAATTAAATTAATAAAAAAAAGTTATTTTTCTCTTTAATTTTTGGAATTTTTAATTGTGGATCAACCTATCCTAACCTATTTTTGGCAAGCTAAATGGTGTATTGGGTCTAAATGATCAAGTTGCTCATTTTGCCATCTTTATTAAAAAGTGTGTTACTACTATATTTTTTTACAAATTTTCTCACCTAATTTTTAAAATTACATTTTTTTCACCAAATCTTGCGTTTTACCCTACACATTTTTATCTTATTTTAATCAACACCTAACAGACACGTTGAACAGTAACATAAATCAATAAATACTGTAACATACAATTATAATATGTCACGTTAACAATTAATATGTCATGTTATTAATTAATTTGTCACGTAGTAATTTAGTACATCATGTCAACATTTAACTACCAGCTTCATACGATCGATTCTAGAATGTAATTTTTTTTAAAGATAGATAGATAATAAAATGTGTGATTTTAAAAATTTATTGATAAAACTTAAAAAAATTGTAAAATATGGGGAAAAAAGTGTAATGAACCGTAAAAAAAGACTCATTATATTTATTTATCTTAATATAAAAGTTAAATTTTTATAATTTAAGGGTAATAGACAATGGTTAATTAAGGAGAGTGAGAAAGACGTGAATGCAATGTTAGTGTTGGTAGTACTAGATTTGGAGAGAAAAAAGGCCCAAATCCAAAGAGTCTCCTGGTTTTCTTATCCCGGGAAAGCGAATTATAAAAGCAGGTGTGGCGGCTAAAGAGAACGAGATTATCACAAATCAGAAGAAACCCTAGCGCCCAATCACTCCGGTAATCGTCCATGGGGAGGAAGCGAAAGCTAGTTCCCAAATCTTCTCAACCCGCCGAACCCCCGCTCAAGCTGCAACAATCCCAACCACTTCCCCAAAATGCCCCTCAGCAGTACCAAGAGGAAGAATCCGAGGAAGAAGAAGAGGTAGAGGAAGTGGAAGAGGAAGAAGAGGAAGAGGAGGAGGAGGAGGAAGAGGAGGAAGAAAGCGAAGACGACCAGCCACAGCAGCAGCAGCAACAAGACTTCGACGACGATCCGATCCCCAAGCTTCTGGAGCCCTTGAGCAAGGACCAGATCGTTAACCTACTGTGCGAGGCGGCGGCGACCCACCGCGACGTGGCGGAGCGGATCCGGAAGGCGGCGGACGAGGACCCCGTGCACCGGAAGATCTTCGTGCACGGCCTGGGATGGGACACCACCGCCGGAACCCTAATCAGCGCGTTCCGCCAGTACGGCGAGATCGAGGACTGCAAGGCCGTCACCGACAAGGTCTCCGGCAAGTCCAAGGGCTACGGCTTCATCCTCTTTAAGACGCGCCGTGGCGCGCGCAACGCCCTCAAGCAGCCGCAGAAGAAGATCGGCAACCGCATGACGGCGTGCCAGCTCGCCTCCATCGGCCCCGTCAGCAACAACACCCCGCAGCAGCAGCAGCAGCAGGCGCACGGCGGC